CTATACATAAACAGAAATTTAAATCAGAAATAACCAATATCTGGTTGATTGCACCAATCATGATTTTACGGCTACCAATGAGTTGGTCCGTTCCAACACTTTATTACGTATACAGAAGAAACTGGGTAAAATAAGAGCAACAAAGTATGCGCCACAACGAAATAACAATGTCAGGAAAAGCCAGACAGAACACAACTAACGAGCAGACTTATGAAAACAGGTGAGCATAATTATCAAGAATATGCAAAGGAGGATATATTTTCACAGAAGAAAAGGAATAAAATGCAGCACGTTCGCCACTGATTTAGATTTTCGGCCATACGTTATAACATCTCGAGCCCCTGGTGTGCATTATCTCTCGGACCCAACCACGAAGCCGTGATGTAACTTAGCACAACTATCTTCAATCTCACAACGCAATGTTATGAATCGATCAACTCTCCAATTCCCCCAAACAGTTCCACGACTGGCATGGGAGCCGCTGAGATGGTATTTGTAGTACATGTCCAGTTTCCCAAGACGACATCATTTATTGGAAGTAACAGGAAGCGGCTGAAATTGCAATCAACATTTCAAGCCAATGGTTGCAGAGGTAGATCTTATTTTTCAAATCTGAATTTAGTTTGTGACGTAGGCATAACAACTTCACTGGGTAACCTTGGAATTCACTGTATAATCTTTTCATCCTGGCCAATTTCAACCAATGAGAATTACTTACTTACCACCGACCTAGTCAAATTTGGATGTGTTAGAAATGTATATTTATGATGTCTTTCTACTAATAAACGTACCCTTATAGTTACACGCCAGTCCCAGTCTTCTGACATTTACGTGGCTGAATGAAGCGGAAGGTAATGAGGACAGACAGTCGCATCTAGCATTCATTTGAAGTGTCTATTGCGTTAAGTATCATTATACCCGCGTAAATCAGTTAGGTCATCAGGACTATCCCCATCATATCTACATGCAAAATGTCAGACCTTACGATTACTTAGACTGTAACCCCATTAAATACAAACAACTCTGGAGAGATAACAGGGTCGCAACACCTCCTAAGATCGGAGGCTGGGTTTCATGGGAGTAGATGAAGAAAGCCGACAGAAGCAATGAAAATCTACCTTTAAAGGTCAGACTACCGTCCAGACGGCGCTAGGTGTGGGTACAGGTTGGCGTATGCCGCCTGATCTCAACTATACAATTACAAATCGCATTCGTCACATCCCTACCACCACTCCGACAACTATTTAGAGAAGTAAACATATCGATTACTTTTAACGGTTTACCCACGACGGTGATAACAGGGTTAAGCTCCTACCCTCTATGAAACAATTTCAAAGTAAATTCCTGTCCAACGAATCCAAACACACGGACTGTCGACCTTCAATACACGCAGCAGTGTTCCAAAAACACATAAAGGGCAAACACGTGACCGACGCATCCACGAACTCTACGAAATCCGGCTTACTCTTCGTGAATTAGCTTTTTACACGTTTAATACGGCTAGCATTTTAGACACGAATAGAAAAGGACTAATACCCTAATCATTGTGCGTCGGTAGTGCATCGGTAGAATGCATGCCAACCACGAGTGTGATTCGCGGTTCGATCCCAGGCCGACGCACTCCTTTACCTCAATAAGCCAGTTATAAGACTGATAAAGAGGGAAGAATGCGCATGAGACTGGCAACCCGTAAAAATAAACACTACTGCTACCGAAACTTCAGAGTTCTAGCTTGAAGTAGGTATAAAACTTGGGCACTATGGTAGGGTATAACTCCATCGCCTCCAAAGCCTCAGGATGGTCGGGGGTGGGTGCCTTGCGCTGCGGGTTGGCCACCCCTCCGCACACCTCTTGAAATGCTCCCATATGACCGGGCGTCTTACATAGCCTCTCCTGAGGAAGTCCTACTCACTGCCTTCACGTGGCGGAGGTGTTTTTCACCAAAGTGAGAGGGCGAAAGCGGATGCCCGGCGCTCTTCACCGGGTTGACTGTCCACTGGATGACAGTCTAGGGGAGATGGCTAAACCCTGATTCCAAACCTCCAACGACTGGCGTATGAAGCTCACTGGAGCTCACCGGCAGACGTATGGACAAAGGGCTTGTTGGATGTCCTGGATGTCTGGCCCCATTCAAAAAGGCGTATGAACCGAACTCCGGTCACCGGCTGCCAATGGATAGTGGACTCCCTAATCCACTCCTACTGCCTTGTAGGTCACACTTGGTTGTGTGAAGGCTAGAGCTGCACTCTCAAACAAAAAGGCCGAGCGATTCTGGGGACATCACTCGAACCAAATTCCCATGAAACTTCATGAACTCTCTTACAAACGACTCTCACCATGCTACGGCGTTCCCGGTAAGCGACGCGCCCTGTGCTACAACATCAACCAAATTCCAGTACTGTTCCAACAACGTCGCCTTCGGTGGCTTGGCCATGTTCTGCGCCGACCAGATGATGATCTGGACAAATCAGTTCTAAATCCCTCGCCATTACCATCTTGGCGATGTCGCATGGGTGGACAGCTGAAAACATGGCTTGGTACAGTCAAGGCTGATATGGAGTGCCTGAGGCTACAAACCGTCTACGGACTCCGTCTGTGGAACAAGAATTGGATAACCCCGTCGCAAAACTTTGCATCAGATCGCCGCGCCTGGGCAGCGATGATTCGAGATGTTCATGAAGCCGGCTCATCCTCCCGTAGGAGATAGCCGAAGTAAAGTAAGTAAGTAAGTATAACTCCATCATGGATAAGATTTTATTTTGATAAATCACAGTGTTATTACAGTGATATTAACTGATGACGTTTCGAGCACAAACTGCTGCTCATAATCATATCAAGTTACGCGCACAACTTTTTTCTTCTTCCCTATACATGAGTGGGATTGATTAGATATATGAATAAAAAATCAAATGAACGGAATAAGGTAAACTGCACACTGGCGTTTATAAAAAGCCAACGCATTCTAATAGACACTTAGACTTTAATTCATCTCATCCGTCAACTGTTAAGGCAGACTTAGTTAAGCGTCTAACAAACCGAGCAATAGCACAAAAAAGACCTAAGTGATGAAATGAAACAGATAGAAGAAGCGTTGGTGTTGAATAACTATCCTAAAAAATTCACTAGGAATATCAGAAAAGGTCAAAAGCGAAATAAAAATAATGGTGAAACTAATAATAACATAAATAAGAAAGAATATAAAGCATCTACTGTCATACCATATAAGGAGGGGACATCTAAGACCCTACGTAGGATTCTAAATAAAGCAGGAATTAGGGTGGCATTCAAACCTACAAACTCACTCAGAGACAAGCTCTGTACGCTGAAAGACCCCATGGACCCAATTAGACAAAATAATATAGTTTACAAAATACCCCACAATGACTGTGAGGTCGACTAGTAGGTCAGGAGTAGTCAGATTGTCGGAACATAAGAATTTAGCTAAGGTAAGAATGATTGAAGATGAGTAATTTAGGAAAAAGCTCAGCAATTGCACTGCATGCATTAACACACAATCACACAATAGGGTGGGAGAGGGTTAAGATTCTAAGAAGTAATCTATGTAGGTGGAGAGAGAGATTGATTACTGGATCCTGGTTCATTGAGTCTACACCCAACACATGCAACAGAAATGACTCAATGCAAATACCAGAAATATGGAAGATATTATTACCGCTAGTCAAATCAGAAGAGGATAACAGATGATCTCAAAATTCTAATTCAATTCAAATACATCATAATATTCTAACAAGTTACTTATTATGACCATTAAAACATTCATCTTTTTCCCATCTGACTGTAATTATTTACTTTTTTATTTTGATTACAGCTTTATGCCACACCGTATTTTTAGTACAAGTATGGAATTTTCAGCATGGATATCGGTAGCCAAAATTTTGCAGGCCGACCATAGATATCGGGTGTGCGTCGGCAGGGGATCGAACCCCGGATCATGTGCATGGTCGGCAAGATTCCTAACCACTGTGCCACCGACGCAGTAACACTCATATTATTATTTTTTAATGTACATTATCCCACATTGATTTCTATACAAATATCTAGTCAATTCCACTCATGTATATAAATGAAGAAAAAAGTTGTGTGAGTAACTTGATATGATTATGAGCAACAGTTTGTGCTCGAATCGTCATCAGTTAATATTACTCTACCTTGAAGCCCTATGTTCCAATGGGAACGTAAAGGAATATATAATAATATTTATACCTTAAGCATTCTGACATGCATTAAGTAATTCCTTTCAAAAGATAGGCACAATGACGACTTTATTCCCATGCTTTCCAAAACAATCTTATCAGTTTCCTGACTAGCGTTCCACTACTATCTTTGCAAAGAGCTGATGATGAGTTGTTCAGGGAAATTGTCTTATGGTTTTTGAGTACGTTCAGTTACCTTGGGACCTCCATTGAGTTAGGCGGGTCGGTCTCAACTGACAATGGAGCACGATAACCTAGAATATAATGCATGGAATATAATCTAACAATTACTAGAGCCAGTACAACTCGTTTTATCGCGGTGTACAAGCCTGGTCATTGGGTTGATACAGTAGCTGACGATCGAGGTTTATGTGGTTAAATACGATTAGAAAGTTCCAGACCAGACAGTGCAAAACAATTTCTGTAGCTCTGAATAAATCACAACCCATTCCTAACTGCCATTGATCATCGATACTGTCACTGACGATCCCAACCTCCCGGAATATGAGTACAGAAAGATGACGTTGAGATCAGCTATTCTTTTAATAAACTGGTAAGAAAAGTCTGCAATAAATACCTTTTATATTGGATGAAATGTAATCCCAGTATCGCATTTACCATCCCGGGGAATATTTAAGCTTGTGACATATAGTACAGTGGCAGTGAAAAATAACAATTGTGAAAATGCTTCCTCCATGCTTAAATTATTTAAAGATACATGGCTTATTATACACTACTCACCGAAATATGAATAATTAAGTAAAACCAATGTCCATAAAAACGTACCCGAAGCTCAGGTTCTAGACAAAATTCATCACTTCTCGCAGTTAGGAAATTGTAAGTAGGTCCAAAACAAATGTTGAGAGTGCTCATTAAACAAAATAAATCTTTGGTTGAAAGCGCTGATGCTGACGATTTTGGAGATGAAGAATCTGAGATGTTATCTTCTAAATTGGTGGAAGTCTCCGATCGAGTACGTTTTCTCCCACTAGAAGAATTTCTAGTAGGAGACAAGCCAGAAGGATTCTGCAAATTCAGATAAGAAAACGACACTACAATAAATGCATTGCAAATACGTTCAGACTAATGGTGGAGCATGCTTGGGATGACAGTGAGTTATGAGTATGCCGCCTAACAAGTTTCCTCGCCCTGCAGATTTTCAAAATCAAATGAAAAGCTGTGTGCACTCGGTATCACTAAACATTGACAATCTTAAAGAAACTTGTGGAATTTTAGTTCCGAATTGCACCATTTCATACAGATATAAAAGACTGCACCACTAAAATGATATCAGTGACAAATTATCTTCAGTACAGTAATAACTTAGTACACCACCGATTTTCTGAATGAGCACATGATATTGGTGTTATTGTGATCGTTTCACAAACACAAACATCACAGATATTCCCAACAGATACTTCGCTCATCATTCCCTCTAATCTGTTTTCTCACTCATTTACATAAAGAAAATGTATATTATATATGAAAACTAATTGATGGGAGAAAAAGACTTAGTATTTTCCATAGGTCATCAGTTAGTTTCTGCGCTGACCGCCTGAAATCTATTTAGGTGACTGCAAATGCCAATAGTGCTACCAATCTTGTGTATGTCGGCATATTCTAACGTCTACAATAAAAATTAATAGTCGGTGAATAGGTAGTAAGTTTACGCTAGCATAACAAATAACCGTAGCAACAGGTTTTGCCATTAGTAACTGTATTTTTCACTTATCCCAATCTAAACGTAAAGTCATTATGGAAAATATTACATAAAATTGTACGGTATAGACTGAAATTTGGCTTTGCATACTCAGTGACAGGTTAAAACTACTGTATGTGGACTAAGACTATAACGTGGAAATGTAAGTCTTGGTGTTTTAATTCATAACTAACTGGTTAAAAGCAAAAGTAAACAAATAAAGTGTTAGTGTACACACTTTAAGATATGAAGTGATTTACAGATTAACATTTTGTAGATTAACATAGGCACTGACTGAAATGAATTATTTTCTTTCAGATATATTCCATAATATTCTAAAATAAAATTCACATTGATGCTGATTTCATAAGACGGAATTAAACTAGGTCAAGCAAATGTCAAATGCTATAATTTCGGATAGTTGTATTTTGAAAAAACGGGGGAAGAAACTGCAGTCAAAAATAACTTTACATGCACTTAGGAACTAATTACCCTTACTGCGTGATGGATGATTATAATACCTGGAAAAATAAGCATCCACGATTAAGTGGTTGTAACATGCCGAACTTTTGTGAACATATTTGCTGAAGACTCATGTGAACATTGCAAAAGTTGAAAATATTCAAGATGTTGCTACTTCTAAAACGAGTGCCCTCCGCACTAATGAACACTACAAGTGAAACCAGAGTGGGAATTAGAGACTAGCCAGAAACTATTAGAATAGTTCGTGAACAATCCTCAAAGTTAGTGTTAACGATTACTCGGCTATGGAAAGCGAACTACCTAAGACTAAACATCAGCATGACAACAACATGACTTTATTCCTGGAGGTTACTTACCTATAATAATAAGTCTCGATTAACCTAGAGCCAATGAACCCAAATGTCCGGGGTTTCTTAAGTTTATAATTACATTTTATTTTTTAAAGAAGTCTCCTGAAAGTGAGTGCAAAGAAATATCAATGGAACTGAACAAAGGAGTTGACGGGTACTAGTATATTCCGAGAGAAGTTGGAAGCTTAAACATCTTGTACGAAGACTCGCAAATCAGACCATTATCACAGGACCAATAGTCGATTGATAAGACTTAGCAGGAGATAAATGAAATTTACTTTGGTAAATGTATGGAGGTGACTAGGACTAGTTTTTAATTAATAGCAGCTGGGTTTCGTCTCATTGCTCACCTTCGGCCTTCCCGACATGGTTGAACCTTGGTCGGTATAGCCCTCGGGATCACCGCAATACGCAAGCCCGTCTACCACGCCAAGGTACCAGCCAACAGACGGGTTGATTTCGATCACGAACACTTTCACAATTACTGGTTTGTAGCACAATCACATCTAAACAACAGAAAAACTAAAAACCTTTTATAATGGCGTATAAGCAGTGGTCTGATACGTAGCGCAATACAATTCAATGAGACGACGCAGGTATTTGTAATCAGTTACGAGCCACAATGCATCATAGTATGAGATAACTTAGCTGCTCTGGATCTAGGACCCAATGACAGAAAGTCACTTGCTTAAGCTATCTACAGAATGCAACAGCGTTAGATCTAGGGTCTTGTAACAGGGAATCTACTTACATGGAACAGCTACAGAAACAGTTATATATATGAGTGTGATTAATCGATAAGTTGAAAATGATCAATTAACCTTATTAATAGTGCCCACTGAAAAAATCTAGACAGAGAAACACTACCAAAATATAAAAATACAAGTCAAAAATAAAAAAACAGAAACTAGAAGTAACCGTTGATGCCTGGTCTTGAACAAAGCTCATTTGGAACGTTTGGGGATCGACCACTTGTCCAGTCAATTCATATAAGTCCCGTAGAGTTTGTGATGAACCAAGGTGAAGAACAGGATGTTTACAACTCTCAGAATTATTTAGGCGAGAGACTAATTCCTTAAACTGTCGTTTCTCCTCAGAAACCATTTTGCATGAGTAGCTCTCCAGTCTGCAAAACAAAATAGTGTCATACATAAACACATACAACTCAAACTCATTGAAGTAAGGAAAAAACTGCAAGTTTATGTAAGTTATACATGGTTTCTAATGATGGCGATTTACATACATACTGTACACCTTGTAAACCCATTTAACTTGTTAACAAATAATTTGTTGAATAATACGTATTCACTTGTCATACATTACATAGAAGAAATAGATTTAGTGGGTGGTGAAAAAAAACATCCACTCAATGCTATTATTTACTTTGCAAACGGGACCCGATAGAACGACTCCAAAGGTGTCTAAGGATGGCGGAGAGATTTTACTGTCTGCGTTAACTAAAGTACAAAGGCAACGTCTGGGAATCAAAGGAAGTCCCATCGGGTTGGTGTAAGTCACCGATTATCCCTATATACAAGAAGGGAGACAAGTCTTCCTGTGATAATCACAGGGGGACTAGCTTGACTAATATGGTATCTAAAGTTCTAGGCTCAATACTCACGCGTGGACTAAGCGGTCCACGGGAGGTTCAAACACGAGATAACCAGGCAGACTTTAGACCAGGAAGAGGATGTATTGGTCATAGCTTCACCCTTCGACAAATTCTGGAACATAGGCATACTTACCGGCGTCCAACAATCGTCATATTTCTTGACCTAAAGGCCACATTCGAGTCGGTCGACCACGAGGTACTATGGCGATGTTTAGCTGCAAAGGGAATGCCGAGAAAATACATTACACTGATCAAGGCTCTCTACTCGAACTCATGCAGCCAGGTGAGGCTTACGGCGAGTTGTCATCTGAAGTGGTGACAACTGGTGGTATCTGTTATGGAAGCCCACTATTGATTGAAGCATATCTCCCTTGTTTTTCAAATGCGTTCATCAAGGAGATTCTAACTCCAATCGTTTCATGCTCAGATGGATGATGTTTACGTAGCTGTGTTTTCTGAGATGGATGGTTTACTTGTGAAGCTTTCACTGCTTTACTGGGTGACATTTTTAGCGTATACTTCAACTTGAAGTGAGTTTTAAAATTTCTCCACGAGTTTATTAGCCATCTCTCCTGGTATCCTTGAAAGTGAGTGGCTGTTTCTGTGATTTCACACCCACTGGTCTACTTATATTGGTACTGATTATTTCCTGGACGTGAACTTTAACTTTTCGTGCACAAGATTTCCTTCTTACGGATTGGTAAATCTTGTCCATGTCAATGTCTATTAATTGCCGATCCACTTGAATACCAGGCTTCTAAAAATTCTATGGCGTTTTTTGGTGTTTTCTCTATCTAGTATCTGAACGTTGTCCCAAACGAATTGATGTCCATGGTTATCTGTAGGTGGTGATATGAAGGAGTGAATGAAATGTCTTTTGACGGTCAGTTTATGTTCATGGATGCGAAGACGAAGACGCCTTAATATGATTACATCTTAGCTTTCCATAGTCAACCCCACAGATCCCCAGGAATGATCAGTATACAAACTACGGGGAAATTACTACTCACAAGTACAATTCATAGCTACCAAGTAACCATCAACAGTTTTCTAGAGGCAATTCTTGAGGGCAATTACAAGCCTCAGTGAATCTTTAAAAAACACTTCACCTTGTCAATGCGAAGTACACATATTTAAGGACATTTACATGGTGCAAAAAGTCAGTTTCATTATTACGTCAAGATTGAATCGCATAACTCCCCTGACTTCACTAAGTGTTGCAGTCGGCCACAAAAATAATCCCGAACTTTCTATTAGACGGTTCGAAATTTAAGGCTTTCCCACTAAAATTCAACAGTAAATTTTATCAAGCATGTGACGAAAAAGCCGGAAGGCTAGAAATAGTCGAAAAATTACAATTAGGACAGTCGACATAAAGTATGCACGTAAAATGAAAACCCGTGGGACGTAAAAATTAGGAGCACATAGTCTCAACCTTTATTAATTATATTATTATTATAATCATTATTGTTATTATTAACGAAAACCCACCACATATCCCGTTTGGGAAAAGTTAAACTGCCATAGCCAAACACACAGCGACCTTGAACAACCGGTCAGCACTCAGATGCAAAAGCGTTGAAAAATGCACTGAAAACATTGCAAAAATGATATTACACTACATAGTCCTCGCTTACGTGTTGTGAGGATGTCTCTCAGTCACTACACAGACGACCTCTAAAGAAATCATACTATGTGGGATATATGCATTCATCCAGGTGACTGTAGATCATGGCACTTTGAAATCTATTGATACTTCTGACACTTTTCCAATCTACCCCTAAATCTAGACCCTGAGTTTAAAATTCGTAACCCTACTTAACAATAGATTTACAGAATAAGTGGCTAGTAAATTGGTATAATACTGCATCTACCCTCTCCAAGTCCAATAACGTAGGCATGATTTGATTTGGAGTGATATTTCAAGGCAATCCCCGTAACCGACCGGTTCTTGAAAGTCAGCTTTTGGAAGACCTTGACTTTAGCTATGATACTCTAACTCCGCCCACGTCTGATATCTAAACACCGCATTGAGTACACTTTAATCATGATTCTGGTTTTATTTAGCTGGTTTCACTTACTTGGTGGGTACTTCAGGGTCACTGGCGGAATCATACTAATTGGTACTTACTGGTTTGACTTGGAAGAGTGGTAGGGAAATAATGCAAAGAAGTAGTTGAATGATTGTAGAAGTGGAAAGACTGTCAATTATCATTCCGCCACTATTCTAATGGTGGCAGGACATATTTTTACATAGTTCACTTCAGCAGTGTTCGAGTCGACTCGAACTAAAGATCTTTAGTTAAAAATCCTAATCATCACCTCAAAAACATGCACCGAGCAGTGAAATCTCAAAAACGCAGAAACAACTTGCCTTGCATCAATTTTATATCGCTTACTACCGTTGCTCAGCTGTGAACTAAGACCTTCAAGATTAATTTGATCCAGCAGCTTCATCCGTACGAAATTTGAATTCCCCACGGGTATTCCTATGCTTTGAAAAACGTTCCGACATGTATTATCCAACGTTGAATGTGTTTGCAATAAGGTTGTATAAACCTTTTCAAAATTCGCATTTAAGTGTTGAAGAACAATTCTCTATCTTGAAGACTATCCAGGTGATTATAACTTTCCATTTTCAATGTCCAAGATATTTTCGTAAAGTTGCACAAACCTATTGAATTTCATTGTGCTCACTATTTGTGGTTTGGTTCGTACTGTTTGCTGATCACTATGCACAGTTCTTCTGCATGCCTTCAGCTTGTTGGTGTTCTTGATTTATTTATTTTTTTATTTTATTTTGATTACAGCTTGATTCCACACCGTATTTTCAGTACAAGTATGGAATTTTCAGCATGGATATCGGTAGCCCAAATTTCAGGCCGACCATAGATATCGGGTGTGCGCCGGCAGAGGATCGAACCCCGGACCATGTGCATGGTCGGCGAGAGTCGTAACCACTGTGCCACCGACGCACAGATAGTGTCAATAATGAGAATTTCAAGTATTGGTTTTGTAAGGATGTTGAGTGTCCTTATTACATATCACCGCTAATTGTAGCGGTAATGTCCGTTGTTATGTTGGTTCAGTAACAAGCTGTGCTTTTATATGTTTTTAAATGAAATTTCACATTAAAATACGCTTCTGACTCACATAATATTGGCAGCATAATATACTTTAACTGCGCTACACTTGCCGCACTTGTATCAGGAAACGTGTCTTGATACTGATATCTGCGCAATAGGATGGATTAAATAAGGTGGGAAGGTCGAAAATAAGACGTATACTTTTGGATTTTCATGGAATCACAACAGTATATTCTGCCTATTTATTGAGACGCTATTGTCTTAGTTTGGTAATTGTTGATATTCATGGCTCAATTTAAGCATTAATTTCAGTTTACGTGTAGTCATAACCGTCAGCTTTTCATTTTAAGACAAAATCATTAGCACTATGGTCATAACATGTAGCACTGTTGTGAACTAGTCTTTCAAGTGGCCTTTATTTTGAGGGAAGATTTAATTCCTACACTATTCCGATTATATAGACATAACTTAGGCTTATACGTGAAAGAAACTTATTGCCTTATTTAGAATAAAGACAAGTTGTTAAGAAGGTGGGAAAGACTTTATTTTTCGTTTTATTCGTATAAACACTATTGCGCATCGAGTTGCATTGCAATTCCACATGAAGCAAGAGATTATGAATGCCTTGCCCTCTCCTCTGCATAAATAACACAGGAATTACTGCACAAGACTCTCCACATATTAAGTTCAGTAAGGACAAATAGAAGTTTTTCCACTTCACTGTTGAGTTAATGCAGGCTTTTACAGTAATACATTTGGAATGGAGACCTCATAGTGAAATCAAAAGTGTACATGTCTTACTAAATCCTATGCACTGCCTGTATAACTTTTATAATCGTCAAGTGGTCATTTAACAGTTGCTGAATGCTGCAATGAAGCTAAAATTATAACTCGGAGTTACCAGAATTGTTGTCATTTCATTGGTAGCAGTTCAAAATCTACTGAGTTTACACAACCACAATGGCCATTTATCACTTGACTGAGGAAACACTAGGTGGGTTTTCCGAAAAGGCAGTCGTCATTTTGTGAATTTCATGAATTGTATAAACTGCATTCTATTCACTTAATACTGAAACTAAACTATGCGAGAACTCATATTTCCATGAAGGATATAATACAAGGCTCATTTCTACAATTGCCGTCCTTATTTTAGTTCAATTTCATCATACATGTATTAATAGGATTTGCCGTCATTGATCTTACGGACTTACCAGGGAACAGTCCGATCAACTGAGAGTCTGCTGATGATATTCTCCACCTAGGTTGTGAGAAGTGACCGTTGTAGCTGGAAGATACGAAAATACTACTAGGTGTCTTTACTCTATCTCCTGTGTTACACAGTACAATATGGTGAGTAATATTGGGGTATAGTGTTAGGTTAAGATGTGACTCTAAGCAGTTGTCAGTGACACAGATGCATTCACTTTGTGTAATCCCACGTACCTAATCAACCCTTATTTTTTTATTATTATCACAGTCCGTTCTCCCTCATATTTATGCTCATCAGATTTCCATTTAATTTCTTTTCTCTTTACCTTTGTGTGCGACACAAAAATGTGGTAACATGAACAGGTGCACTTGTGTGCAAGCTTATGCTGGAAGTCAGTCAGAATGACATATAGTCCAGGTATAACGAAATGTTGAAAAGTGGATATTAATCACTGAAATGTCAACAAATGATAATCGTATTTTTTCATTTGGTTCTTGTCTAACTGAAAAAAGAGTTACTTTACAATAATTTCTCCTCTTACCCAAATGACTTCTACACTCTGTCTCGTTATATCTCATGAGTTGGTTTATTTTACCTCACAGTCTAAATGCTAGGGCGAAACACATCTGATGAAATATTTTTTGGTAATTACCAACCAAATATATTATTTTTCACTTGTGAAATGTAACAAATCGAACATATGCACTTCTATGCTGAGGTCTATGTTAACACTCAGTCAGTCGGCCTCTGTCTCTGCAGCTGCCTAGTGTTAATTGGCTTGAACAATTATGAATACCGTTTCCTAAGTACTCTATGTATTTTCCAAATTCTTCAATTTGTCCAGATAAAGTGCACCGAAGAAAAAACCATGAACCAGAAGTCAGTAACACGGACATAAAAAATAGTGTGAATAGGAGTGAATGAGATGAGAGATAATTTTATCCCTGTAGTACGCCTAACTAAAACACGTATGCATTACATGTATCCTAATTGTTTCATTTTTTTCTTCCTCATTTCAGGTTATCGGTCTTCGTAGATGTCGTCATACATACTGTCGATACATCCACCTCCCACAAAGTTGTTGGTATGAAGCCTTGAGAGTATTCACTTCGGGCCGTAGTACAATTAGTACGCTTGTATTACTGATGCAATGACATGTAAGACTTGTACAGGTTACTGTGAAGTTTGCCTGTGATAACATTCCCTACATAGTAAATACAATGCTTGTCATAACAATTCTTTTCATTGCGTTGATATTTTTTATTATTTTATTATAGCTTGATTCCACACAGTATTTTGGTACAAGTATGAAATTTCCAGCATGTGGTATCGGTAGCCCAAATTTAGCAGGCCGACCGTAGATATCAGGTGTGCGTCGGCGGGGGATCAAACCTCGGACCATGTGCATGGTCGGTGAGAGTCCTAACCGCTGTGCCACCGACGCACATGTGCATATATATTAGAAAAAAGCTAACCTTGTCGTATTAGTTCCCGAAAATACTTTCACTAAGTGCCCATACCTCGGCTGAATACCAAGTGCTACTCGTGGTTCATGAAATACTTTCTACTGCATTCGTAAATAACTATCTAACTATTATTATACGGAGTAGTGAGACAGAAGGCGTATGAAATTTAGATGTTAATGTGTATTTGCAGTTACTGACACAATAAATAAGAACATTTTTCATCTCCAAAAGAGAAAATTTTATAAAGTAATGCAGGGATGAGAGCAGTGAGTTATTAGTGTACTTCTTACTGTATACATCTTGTATAAGTGAAATGCTTGTATTCAAGTATCTGCGAAGCTGCAGGGTTTCTTCATTGAAACTCCACGGATCCCGCGAGAAACATCTGCGAAATAGTCGAATTATTTTATTTCAACTATAAACCATAATACTGATATCATTAAAAGTGAGAAGTACCTGTAAACTGAGGAAGTCTATTGTAACACATCACCACATCCCGGCACGGTATTTTTCGTGTTGTAAAATTCCCGCAGGTACAAGTAGAATTCATGGGCTGAGCACTTGTTAAGTATGGAAGCGTCACATTGAGTCATTTAGACGAAAGACTGGCGAAATGAGATACCTAACATATGCACCTGCATATATAAGCATATGTTACTACGCACGGACTCCAGGCCATACCGAGAGGGCATTTCTTCCAATCGACCCCCCGTTGTGCGCTCAATTATTGTTCGTATGTATGTAATGACGTGATGCGTTTCCTAGTTTGCCTATAATTACAGAATGTATATTATATTAAGGAACACAAATGGATTTTCTGAAAACCAGTGGTGCTCCTTCTCTAGTTTTAACTGATGTCACATTGATTGACACGATTAAAGAAATGGATTGTTAGGTGGTGTTTTCTGTAGCTGCAAATCGTAGTTACCTAGTTTCGAATTGACATCATGCGTCAAATCCTATTAACCTATGGATATAGTTCTTCCTTCACGGTACACCACGATATCTAGAAGTCAGGAGCAACTGTTTTCAGCAGTTCCAGTCTTACTTTGTGACTAATTGGTGAGTCAGCTGGTGTTGTGGTAGTAGAGAAAACAACTCCAAATCTAAGTATTTTCCAGATATGAACATATCTGCTTACTTTGGCGACAATTTAAGCTTTTTATCGAGAAGCCCCTAGGGATATCCATCTTTACTTAGTAATTAAAAACTAAAAGTAAATGCCATGTTGCTAAGTTATCAAGAAGACAGAATAATGAGTGAACTAGTATTTGGATGCACTTATTCTAGCGCAACTGAATAACATTATTGATAATCTCTTAGCCTGTCCACATGCCGTTTAGTTTCAGTTTTAATTCGAAAACAAGTTTCATTACTTGCTAAATTAGTTGTTTCAGTAGACTGCTCTAATCTTGTCTTTGAAATGCTTTGCCCGATCGTGTTTTACTTCAAAATATGTGTACGCTGGCCAGTTGATATCGTTTATCCATGCATTCAGTTATACTAACCCACCTATGTTCCTATCAGTCAAAACATCCCTTAAACTATCAACAAGTTACCATCACTTCTAAATAAATAACCTTAACTATTCGCGTGTAAATGATGATAATAACTTTATCACTTACGTGACGTTTCGACTTTTGAATAATCAGTTTCCCCTTACATGAGCACCTGTTTCAATTTTAATGGATAGTT